CCTCTCTCTCAATCCCTCCCCTTCTCTTTCTCCACCTCAGTTCCCTCCTCTTTTCATCTGGGTCCTAATACCCATTGTTCTCTACACCATCTTTCCCTCCTACATGCCTTGTACAGTGATTCTGATTCCTCATACAAAATTTTCTATCTTCCTTTTTTTCTCAAGAAGTTTAGAAGGTATCTAAACTCTCTCAGATTATTTGGCAGAAAAATAATAAGGAAAGTATGGTTACAATAATTCTTGAATTTTGCTTCAGAAATTATCTATAAAAACTTTTGTACATTATAGTTTTCCTGTGTGCTTTAAGGTTTTTTGTTGTTTTTTTTCAAATAAAATAAAGCATATATATACATATATATACATATATATATTGCAATTTTAATAACAGTAAAGGAGATAGAAGATCTCTGTAAAAAAAATGTCTAGCACCTAGTATTGTGGTATGTTTTTCTGTATGCTATGAATGTGTTGCCCTGATTGGTTGATAAATAAGGGTGTTAGGCCAATGGTGAGGCAGAATAAGGTTAAGCAGGACATTCAAACTAGAGAGAGAGGAAGAAAGAGAGAGAGCTGAGGAGATGCTGACAGCTACCCTTATGAGAAGCAAGATGTAAAGGTAACGATAAGCCATGAACCATGTGGCAAAGTATATATTTAAAGAAATTGGTTAATTTAAGATGTAAGAGCTAGTTAAAGAGAAGCCTGAGCCATTAGGCTATACAGTTCATAATTAATATAAGCCTCTGTGTGTTTATTTGGGTTCAAGTGGCTGCAGGGGCTCAGGGCCGCAGGAGCCATGTGGGACCAGAGAAAAGTTATAGCTACAACCTAGCTCAACCATATTACTCCTTTTTTCTTAACACATCACTCCATACCTGTAGTGCAGCATTAATGTCTGTAGAGAGAAGCACAAAAGAAAAATCTCATAGAACATTGACTGGGTTGAACATAGTTCACTCAATATTCCTTGCTATTTGCATCAGCAGCTACAAAAATGATGTCTAAATAATAAAAGGTTTAAGGGAAAGAGAAACATTTTGTGCAAGTAAGTTTATTATAAACTGGAAATGAGAAAGTGAAGGCATTTTGGACTGACTTCACCCCTTTACTTTGAAAAAGAAGGAAGCTAAGCAGACTGGAACCTTTGTAGAATTAAATTATTCTATTTCTGAGGGTTATTAGGGAATTCTATGCTGACTTTACACTTGACTCAATAGCCATATTAATGAGAATTCCTCCAAAGAATATAAAGAATGTTCTTCTATAAGGAGGTAGATATATTAAATCAAGTTTGTGGGGGTATTATTGACTAAAGTTTCATAAGAATTTCTTACATTTTGGCCAAGAAAAATATCCCCGCAAAAGTGTTTAAAATAAATTATTCACATTAATGGAAGATAGCATGCATTTTTTATATTTTTATATAAAATTAATAAAAAATCATTAGAATGGGACATTTTCAGATTGGTTTCTCTTGAGAGATTTGCTAAAAGGCAGCATAGTGGGTTAGTTAAAAGCACTGCTGTGGAAGTCAGAGAGAGTGGTATGGAAATCTGTTCTTCCTTTGCATTAAGACACTATTTCCTTAGGTCTTGGGTAAGTTATCTGTGAAAGCAGAAAGATGAGAGATGGCCAAATGCAGAGAGCACTCTCAAATAACTTAACTAGTACTGAGAAGTGTTCAATGAAATACTTTTAGGAGTTGGTGTTCAGGGAGAAGCAATATATATGAAGTGATGTAACACTCATGGTACCCAGATGGCTATAGATTAATGCTAACTTGATTGGGGCTCCAGTACAAGGCATTTTTCACATCTCTGGGTCTTGATTGTTCTCATTTGAAATTGGCTCAAAGTTTTAAAATTCCACAAGCTACTGTCTTTTAACTGGGGGCTCAGGTGATTAAATACACATCTGTCATGTAGTGTTGATTAGTTTATATCAGCTTAACACAAACTATCATCATCTGACAAGAGAGAACCTCGAATGAGAAAATTCCCCTATAAGACTGGGGTATAGGAAAAGCTGTAGAGCATTTTCTTAATTAGTGACTGATATGGGTGGTACCACCTAGGCTGGTGATTCTAGGTGCTGTATGGTATTAGTTTGAGCAAGGCAGTAAGCAGCACTCCTCCATGACCTCTGCATCAGCTCCTGCCTCCAGGTTTCTGCCCTGTTTGGGTTCCTGCCTTGGCTTCCCTCAGTGATCTGTGACTCACCATATGTTAGCCAGAAAATTCTTTTCCTCCTCAAGTTGCTTTTTGTCAGGGTGTTTCATCACAGCAATATTAACCCTAACTAAGACACACGTATATAACCTCTATTCTTAGAATCTACTTTTAAAGAATGAAACAAATTTAAAAGTGTATGGGACTATAACAGGATTATATTCAGAAACATTAATGGATATATTCTGACAGAGCTTAAGAATGATTAAGTACTGGTTACAAATAAATAACTGATACTCTTTTATGTCATTTATTGGAGACCATGTATAATACACAAATGCAATTTGAAGTAAGTATGCAAGGGTACTTTTCTTAACATGGTTCTTTTCAGAAATAAACATATTTGTAGCAAAGTATGAAAACTACCTAGGTTTTTATTTTGTTTTTGAATGACATCTCTTCTTCCATTTTAAGTCGCTTTTGGGTATAAGATCAATAAGCTGATTATAGAAAACTGAGCACATTTTTCCAGGAAGGCTACTTAGAAATAATGCAAAGAAAAACACATTTAGCATAGATTTTTTAAAAAGGCCAGCTTTGATCTTGCATACATGTTTGTGTATTCTGCTTCATTTCTACTACCAAATTAACAATTACATGAGCCAGAAGAAGCCATCTAATTAAAGAATAAAATGTAATTTGTGCCATTACACTTCTGCTGGTCCTGTTATAGAATTATCTATGAAGAAGATGAAACACTGCACACTACTAAGTGATTTATGACTATATGGCCATTCATCATTACAGGTAATTGTTGCTTGATGTAGACAAGCATCCAGTCTCATTACAATCCCACATTAACAATACATCTTGAGGCCAGCATGGATCTGCATGCCTGTGACCCCAGGACTAAGGAGACTGAAATAGTAGGATAGGAAAATTCAAGCCAGCCTGGCTACACATTGAGACTGTGTCTTAAAACAACAATTGCAAACAAGAAAACAAATACAAATTGGGGATGTTTGAAATGTAGTTTCAGCCAGGAAGTCTCCCTTATTTCTTGTTCTCATTACATACAGCCCATCTTTTCTGTTCTCAATCCTATATCCCATTTTCTCTCTTAAGAAAAAAGGAATGTTCTGCCCAGAAGCCCAACCTAGAAACCCAAAACCTATTCATGACAATGCACCCCCATCCCAATCCCTCTTATAATCAATGTTACTATAGCTTTTACATTTATCATCTGAATTTCTCTTGAATCATTTCACTTCTCTGTCAAGCATACTACCTTCCAGCCAAAATGACTCCTGTTGATTTTCTGAAGTTGTCATCTCCAACCATTGTTCTTTCACCCACACTTCTCACTTCGGTACATTCTCCACCTCTACTTTACTTTCTCTGTTTTCAAGTTAAGACAGTGACGTTACTGTGGATGCTTCCTTATAGAGTCCTCTCCTTCCATCACTTCTGCTACACATAAACAGAATCCTCAGGAATGACTCCTCACATGGCTGCTTTCCTTCACTGCATTGTTCCATAATGTATCTGCATCTCACTTAGGTACTTACTTAGTTGACTGCAGATAAATTCCTCAATGGCAGTGATCAATGCTGTTTTTGCTTACCTTATGACTCTGTCGAGTAAAAACACAATGCTTGGAACAAAACCAACACTGGACACTTGAGTAAGAGATTAAGTGAAGTAGTGATTGATATTGTTATAAATAGCTTTCTAATTCCTGGTGTGTTTTTTGACTAAAATAGGGATCTTGCATTGACTAAATGCACTGAAACATTATAACAAATGAATACAAAATTAAATGATATAAATTCATCAAGTTACTTTCATTTTGATGGTGCTATGTTGCAATAGAACCCTTTAATGTTCTTTTCATCATTTAAATCTGAATTTAGTATCAATATAAACAAAGCTTTCTAGGAGCCAAGTGCTTGAACTTAAAACTTGTACTAGGCTGAACCGTGCATCTCACAGTGCTACACAATTGTATGCAATTATTTTAGACCTGGTACAACTACTATGTTTTTTTAAAATTTTCTTATGCTCAGTTTTCTTTATTTTTATTATTGTTTTTTGAACTATGAGCTAGTGTTATGGGTGCCAAATAATAAATTTCTGCTAGATATCTCACATATGTTCCTCACACAATGTTACTCACAAACAAACTTTCAAGTAGGCGTGTATGTTTTGGAGGCGGAACTAACAGATTGTTCAGTCAGCTCAAAAGATTCCATTTCTCTCACTCTTTCCTTCTCTCCCTTCATCTCCATCTTTCTTTTATGTCCTTTTCTTCTCCCCATTTCTAGCTTTGATTCCCTGCTTCTTTTATAGTGTCAGAATCTCCGTGCCAGCCTGTGAACATCAGAGGACCCTTCCGGACTCTTCATCTGCTCAGAATACAGACCTATGGTTCTCCAATAATAAAATACTTATGTAGTTTTACTTTACCTTTGTCCTATAGGTTGGATATTTTAGTTGTTTACCCAACTTTATTTTTTTTCCACAATAACACGCACTGCGTGTCTAGCACACCGGATCTACTAGAGCTGTGTTTTTGTTCAACCACTGTTGGACAGGCTGTGTGACTGGGTTCCTGTGTTGCACTTTGCTCAGCTGTCAACCGTAGTTAGTAGTTATCATCAGGGGAAAGATCCTAAGCTTTGACAATTTGAAAGGATCTTTAAAAAGTCAGTCATGTAAAATTAAAATTTAAAAGAGACAGAGAGGATTATATAAAGATCAAAAATATGGAAAATAACAATTTATTAAAAACTAAATGAGATCAAACCCCACAAAATGGAGGAAACAAAATAACACTTACATTCATTAACTGAGATTGCTTTCAGAATATATCTCATTCCTCTTAGCTTCAGAATAGACATTTTGATTGATTGACAGGTGTGCATGCATGCACACACATGTAGAGGCCCGAACTTGATGTTGAGACTCATCCTCCATTGCTTTCCTACCTTATTCACTGAGGGAAAGTCTCTCAGTCAAACCCAGAGCTACATGAAATGGCTAGTTTTGTTAGCCAGCTTCCTCTGGGGCTTGATCTTCTATCACTACCTTCTTGGTCTTTACATGATTTCTGGGATCCAAATTCCGGTCCTAAGTCTTCTACAGCAAGTACTTCAACTGCTAAGCTATGTCCCCAGCCTGTTAGAAGTCACTGTCTATCAAGGGGATGTGAGATTAAAACAACATAGAAAAGTGTAGTTCTTTTGTTATGGTATTATGAGCTTAATAATTTAGAAAAGCTTTATATTTACAAGTTATCATAGTCAGTAAGACATGATGGTTTAAAATCAGTGCTTATAACTGAACAACCTCTCAAGCTCTTTTCTGGATGAGCTGTAACACCAGACGACTTTTCAGTACTAGCTCTGGCTCTTTTCCTTCCGGCTACATTTCTCTGCCATTCTTCATCCGTGTCAGAGCTGGGGGCCTTGGGAGCTACTTACAGGCTGACACTGTATTCTACTCTGCCTGTCCGCAGTTACAGACTGGACACAAAACATCTTATTGTGCCTCAAGCATAATGTTATAAATAAAACCAATGTATCTAATTGATGAGTAACTATTACTTTTATATCAAGATGATAATAAATGACAGTAACCTAACATGAAAATTCTATGAGTATATTTTTATCATTTAAAGAGTCATGAGAACTAAGTATATATGATTGTCTTGAATATTGGCATGATAATGATGAACATTTATTGCATATTTACTGCATGAAACACTCTCTTTCAAGCACTTTATGTAGATCATATAATGCTGCCCATTCACCTGCATGAAGACGAAGACATTGTTTTACAGATGAAGAAAGCTCGACATCCATAATCTTCCCTCATATTTACTCTATGAACAGCATACATTTTCCTTACTGGCTGGATATTCCAATTTCATGTGTCTCAGAACAAAGAACCAGAGGGACCCACGTAGATGATAGAAAACAAAGTAAGAAAACTTATTAAGGACCCATTTCCAGGGAAAGAAATAGGCTGATGGAAAATGAGAACTAAGAAGTGGAAAGGTCCTGGTATACAAAAATCAGGGACTTTTTTTTCTGATACAGTCTCATATAACCCAATCTGGCCTCAAAATTTCTATACAGCTAAGGATGACATTGAACTTCAGATCCCTCTGCTTCTGATAGAATGTCAATTGCCACCATGTTTTAAATGATACTGGAAATCCAATACTGGAGCTTTATGCATACTCAGTGAACACTCACCAATTGAGCTAATTGACACCACCGGTCCCAAGAGTTGGGACTTTTGTGTTACTTTAGTGTAGGCTCTGCCCTGCTTGCTCTAGTTGTTACACGTAGTATACCCTAAAATTTACTCCTCACCCAGAGGGGTGCATTTTAGTGTTGCAGTATGCCATAGGCTTATAACAAATCACAATGTATTCTTAGACACTCCAGAGTGACTGCAGGGCACACAAGCAGCCTTTTTTTTTTTTTTTTGGTCTTAGCTGTGGAGCTCACATTTTTCCTCTCTGTCAACTAGGTTTTATGAGTAAAGTATTTTCATAATGTTTTGTGCAAGGCCTTCCACACCTCCCTTTCTGCCTCATTAGGAACATTTTCACAAAGACAAATGTAAGTAAAAGGGAATAGTTATCTTTTTTTTAAATTTCTCATCATTAAACTTTTCCAAACTTGTGAAAATATACTGTGCTAAGCAGGAGAGCTGAACCCAGGAAAGTATTATTGCAAGGAAAATACTGCTTTTAAAGTACACTTGTGCTGTCATCCAGGTTAAGAAGAGTCTTGAGATATGGCCATCTTGTTTACAGCCCCTTTCTCGGCAACCTCAACGGTTCCTTAAGAACTGTGTCTCAAGGGAGAAGATCTTTAGGAGACAGAACTTTGAGGCACATTCTCCAAGTCTTCCCTTCACTTACCTAACAGATGAGTTTTGCTCCTTCAACAGCACAAGATCTTGTATAACATGAGGGATGAGCACCTATTTTTCATGGTTCCGTGTCCTGCCTGTCTCTGTGAGTTTGAGGCCAGCCTGGGCTACAGAGTGAGATCCAGGAAAGGCACAAAGCTACACAGAGAAACCCTGTCTCAAAAAACAAAAAACAAACAACCAACCAAAAAAAAAATCCACAAAACAAACAAAAAAACAAACAAAACAAAAAAACCAAAAAACTAACCTTTTTTATTCAGGAATCTATACCTATCTCAATACCATCACCAAGCACTGAGCCTGGAACATAATGGATACTCAAGTTCAGAGGTCACATAATTGATAAACTACTCCCAGAGAGCTTTGGAATTCTCATTTGGCAAGACACAAAACATTTTAGGCTTTAGAGAAATTTTTGATACTCAGGGCATACTAGTTTCCCAAGATAATTTTTCTTGCATTGATTTATTCTTTTATATTTTGAAATATAATTGTATTATTTTCTCCCTTTTCTTCTTAACACTTCATATGTACTCTCTTGGTTCTCAAATTCATGGTATTTTTTTTTAATTGTTGGTACACACACCACACTCCACACACATTTTTAAATATATAAAGACAATTTGTTCAGTCCCTATAATTTTAATTGAATGCATATGAATTGTAAGACTGAACAGTTTTTGGGTGAACAGTTTGAGGGCCCTTTTCCAGAGCATATCTTCTGTATAATGCCTGTATGTAAAATGGCTTGAGGCCCCATGAAATCTCACCCTTCCACATTACCATGTCTGTTTATGCTGTTCTTGTTCATGTAGCCATGTCGATGAGACATGGGTATACTACCCCAGGGCTGGTGAAATCATTGACCTTAGAGAAAAAACTACAGCTGCCACTTTATCAAAACTTCAATTAACTCCATTATAAATATTTATCCTTATATCTGCTAATAAATATAGGTCTTACCAATCACCAAAGTCTCCCTGCAACAGAAAAGAAACATTGCAGAAAATCACAACCGATCAAAAGCAAAGAACAAATGACCTGACCATGTGGTGCCCAGCCCCAACTGATGTATTTCTAAAACAACTCCTGCACCTAAAACTAAAAAGATCGGAGTGGAGGAGAGGGGGGGCTGAAGAACTATAAGAAAGAAAAGAGCAGGTAATTTGCTGTGAGAGTGTTTTAAATATTTATTTACAGTGTGTGTGTGTATTTGTGTGCGTGTGTGTGTCTGTGTGTGTGTGTGCGCGCACGCTCTTGCATGCAGGAGTGTACCCATGTACCACATGGTATACATAACGAAGTGAGAAGAGAATGTTAGGGTGCTTGTTACCTTTTTTAACCACGGACTTTATAAGGTTCTTAGGTTTGTGTCAAGCTCCTTCTTCCACTGAACGATCTTGCTTGATTTACTTGATTTATGAATTCCTTAATGACAAACAATAAAACCCAATTAAACATATTTCACCAAAATTGACAGAGAGATTTGGATATTTAGATGAATGATCCT